TTTATATCTATCTGTTTAAGATTATTTTAAAAACAAAACTAAGCAAAAACCACCTGAAAGGAATTTGCCTCTCTGGATGACCTAAGATGGCTCTGAATCAAACTTTCATATGATCATCATTGGTACATCACCAAATATTATATTGTCTCTGGAAACTGATTACATTTGCATCAGCTTTCTTAAGGCAGTGCTTTGAGAAGTTTTGGGGTTCACTTTCTAAATGAAGCCAACAGATGAGAAATTGAGCAAGAGCTCCTGCGTTTGTGCTTCTTGAAAGTAAAAAAATAAATAAATTAGCAGATAGATTGTTAGCAATGGCCACTGCAAGGGTAAAATTAAATTTCCAAACTGAAAATTTTTTTTTTTTTTTTTTTTTTTTTTTTTTTTTACTAATTTTAATCTGGTTTCAGAACCCCTGGTAACTACAGTAATACATCAGCTCTTTGTGATGCAAGTTATGGAAAATTGTTTTCCCAGATGGGTATTAATCTTATAATAATGAAATGTTTGTAAAGTCACATGTTTTATAGATGGCAACTTCAAGAAAGAGCAACCTTCTTAAAAGCTCTCACTGAAAATCTTTTTTTCAAACGTTTTCTAAAATAACATGACACAAAGCAGCAGTCGTAACAACTTCTGTTCAGACAAAAGACTTCATACTGGGGACACATTTCAGATTAGGAACAAAATTAAACTGAGCCATGGGAAGACGCTCACATTGCCACATCCATGTCAAGTTAATACTCTTAGCCTCTGAATTTGCAAATGCCAATTTCAGTCACATCCAGGCATTCCCCACCCTTGCACTTGTGACAATTCAGGAAATATCTTCCAGAGATATCAGCAATTCACTCCATGGCTAAGTAGGAAGGGAGTGAAATCTTAACATTTAAAATCCAGACATTTCAATAGGTTCTTCTGAAAGTTTAAATTAAAAAACTGTGTTTCTTTATGACCAACTCTCACAGAAACTTACTTTTCATAGCAGAAATTTGAGGGAGAATGTGACTATCCCCTTCTGAACAGAGAAGCACAAAGCTGAAAAAACTACCTTAGGTCTCTCCACCTAACAAGAAGTTGACTTCTGGCCAAAAGAAAAGAAAAAAAAATTGAGAAAAATATAATCCTTTGCATTAATTTACTATTGCTACTCATTTTGTAATTTAAATTGGCAATGGACCACTTGAGGTCAGTGTTACCAAATTTGAGAATAGCATCATTCAGTTCCACTCCTCCTTAAAACTCCTGGGTAGTCTGATTCAGGTAGGCCAATACAGTCATTATACGGTAACATTTACAAAATCATAAGGAATGATTGCTTTATCTGCTTTCCAACGGTGAAAGATACATGACAGGACTCCCTAGCCAGAACTCAATAACCAACCAAGTAAGCCATATTCCACAAGGCAGCAGAAGTTTAAGAGCAAGGAAATGTCCTCCCCTACCTTCCCTGACCTAAACACATTTTCAATAATTGTAAAGTTATTATAAAAAGACTAAACACCATTAGCATTCTAAAGAAGATGTACACATTTTCCTTTTTTGCTGAAGATAAGCAGCTATCCTGCTACTGGCAACCCTCTTCAATGTCACCGGAGTCCAGTGGGAGGAAAACTTACCAAGCTTGGTTTCAGTTTTTGGACAACTGGCTCCCCTCTACTTCCAGCAGAGTCCCAGGACCTGCACAGCAGCCAGCTCCATTGCGTGAGGCTTCCCCTGGTGGCATGCGAGTGCTGGGAGCTCCATGTGCGCCACAGGGAGCCCCTGGCAATAGAGGTGGGCCGGCTAGGCTGCATTCCTTGCCACTATGTGCAGCACTGGCTGGAACTGAACCTGTGCCAGCCCTGAGCATCAGCCCCCTGCTGATGCTGGTGATGGGGACTGTCTGCCATGGAGGTGAGGGGGACAGGTAGTGCGTGGGGGATCCCCACTCCCCCCCAAACTCCCTCACACCCACACCATGCCCACCTGAGCTCCATACTCCCACTGCACCCCTCAGCATGGGCTCCGCACTGCCACCAGCCCAAGCCCTATGCTCTATACTTCTGCCCAGCTGTAGCTCCACCCCTGCCATTGCACCCACCCCCACCGCTTCCCTACCTGGTACCCGGAGCAAGTGGGATCCCAGGGAAGCTAAGCAGGCGTCCCAGCGGCTGCAGCAGCCTTGCCTGGAAATTGCATGCTGGCTGGGGTTAGGCCCTTCCACCCATGAGGGTGGGAGCAAGGTGCACAGGATGGGTCAGGTACAATTAGCTGGCAGGCACCCACAGGCCAGATGAAAGTGCCTGGCAGGCCAGATCCGGCCCACAGGCTGTATTTTGCCTGCCTCTGGTATAACAGTAGCCTTGACAGCAAAAAGGACATTGATCAAATCCTAATTCATAGCTTGGCACAATGGACACTTGTGCATTCGTACGAGATTCACAGGGTAAATTTTATAAACTGGTCACAGGTTAAATTTTATAAACGGGCCAAAAAAATTAAAGTTCTAATTTTCACAATTCAGATCCATACAATCCTCACAACGTAATATACTTTTGACTTAAACAGTCGGTAAACATAAAACCGTAGCACTCTCAAAAGGCAGAATTCTGCTGTCTCACTCATGGTGTACGATACCCTATTAGGCAGCCAGTTCTACTGAAAAGAACAGGATACTTTTGGAAGTAGTACACATGGTCAATCAGACTCTACAAAGGAGGAGATCGGGCATTATCATCTCAATCTATACATATTTGCCCCCCACTTTGGCAAATCCCATTCATGTTTTTTGGAAAATTCAATTTCAACTGTCAGTTTTCCATCATCTGTGTGTGTGATGTGTACAGGCAAATAAATAATAAGAACTATTGCACAAAACTAGAGAGAAAGTCGAACAGAATGACCCACCATGCTACTAGGGCTTATATTAGCCAATAGGCACTACTTACCAAAATAAGACCAGAGGCCTACCTGGAAAAGCTCTTGATCCTTCACTTAACCAGATACTGGGGATGAAGAAAAGCCATGGATAACTGCATCCAACCTATACATCTCTTCATCATTCCTACATCTAACTTATTTTCTGGATGGAATCACACTATTTCGTTGTTATTATTATGATTATTCATTTAAGTAAAAATATGCATTAAATCCTTAAATACTGGGGCTTTTCCTGAGGACTTGTGCCTTTTACTATGTTGGAAACAGAAAAAAAGAGAGGTTTGTTACCTCTCTCAAAAAAAAAAAAAATCTGTAAATTATAAACAGAATTATAAATTATATCTGAAACTTAGCAAGGATTTTAGCTCCTTAACTTTAACTGTCACCACTGTCATAATGATTTTATGGCACCCAAAAAATACTTCTAAAAAGAGTTCCACTGACTTCTATTGAGACTGCACTAGGCATCAGAACCGATAGCCTAAAGGACAAAAAGATCCAATGTGATTGTCAAATTGTTTGAATATTTCAGTCATGGCTATAGTTTCATGATACCACTTTGTAGAAGTGGTCCTCAACCATGTAAGTGCAGTGGAAATACACGAGTACTTGAAGTCTTTTATGCCTCTTCACACCATTTTAATTCAAGTAATGATGTGCAAACAGGTTTTGCAGGGCATAAGCAATACAATGGGCTCATGAAGTGTGGATGTAGACAGCAACATTACTGATGATCTTCTGGCTTAAAGTGGCAACTCTATGTTTAATATGCTTTGGGAAGATTTGCAAATTACAGACATGATTAAAAGCTTTTATTTCTGTTGGTTTAACAATCTGCTTGAAAAAAAATCAGACTCACCTAAAAAGGTTGCACCACCTAGAATTAAGTAAAACATCTACAGACTACAAATGTTGTTTGTTTAGTAAATGTTTACTTTCCATATTTGACACCATTTTTTCTTATTTTATACAGTTTCACAATTTCCCTTCAGGTTTTTTTTCGTTTTTCCCTAAAGCCATTTCAATAGCCAACTGGGAATATTAAAGGCAAGGAGATGAATGCATTTATTAGTTTCTATAAATTCCAAAGCAATAAGTTTCATGCAAAAATTTAAATACCATCATGTCTGAACAATCTAAAATAAAGGTATTTGAGACAACACGCAATAGGGCAAACCACTATTCTGTTCATTAACCCTCAATACTTAAATAATTTATTCTTTGTTCCAGAGAAAACAATTAAAATTAAATGGACTTTTTATGCACCGATATAAAAATGATTCTACAAAGAACACTAATGTAGAATAAATTATCTAATCAGAAAAAAAGGTAGCAATGATATAACATACAGTAGAAGGATTATTTAAGGTTTTAATGCAGAGGACAACCTTTTGAGAATTAAGATTTACTGCAGAGCCAATAAAAATAAAGAGCTTTTTCAAGTGGGCAATATCAAATTACCACCTACTTGAAGCAATGAAGAACCCCCAAGGCACTTGAAGGTACTTTGATATTTTTACATCTTTTGGTGGTGCTGATTAGCACCTATTAAAATACAGACTTCAAATAACAGAACTCATTGAGAACCCAACAACCGTTGTTCAACTCTGCACAAAAAGCACATGTGCACTGCCTGACACTGCATGTTCTGATCCTTTTCTATACACCTGGAGTACCTACTTATGAACAGGCTGAAGCATCTTCCCTTTGGACAGTGGGGATATGGAAATGTGGTGAATACATGAAGAAGAAAAAACCAGCAAGAGGGAGGGGGCTTGATAAAGGGGAAGACCACACTGAAAGATACAGAAGACATTTCAATTTTAGATTTAGCTCCAAATTTTGTCATGACTTAATACGGGAAGTTTTACAGCATGCTTAATTTACTAATGGAATCACCAGCAGTTTTGCATGCAGCAGGATCTGCTAACTCCACTCACTCTCGAGCACCATCTGTATTCCAGGGCTGATTCGCCTGAGGGAGATCTCTCACTCTATGATCACATAATATTCCTGCTAATTCATCTAACGCTCATTTCCCCAACCCACCCACTCATTTCATTTTTCAGAACTCTTACCTCTTTGTGACACTTTCTGAGCAGACTGATAATGAGGTTACATTCTTCCGTGTGCTTATGAGGAGACAAGTCTGGATGCATCTTGAGTTGAGGGTAATTTGTGTAGCTCAAGCACATAAAAATGTGAGAAACTTTCCACCTGCCAATATTAAAATTGGAAATTGCATTTTAGAGTCTACCATAGTGCCACCTAAGAGATACTTGTGCTTTACTGTCTGAATAGAAGTAATTGTCACCAAACCTGGAGTATAGCCCAATCTATTTTAATTTATGTTAAACAACCACATAAAAAATGAGTAATTAAAAATGAAAACCCAACATATGGCTTTCTTTTTCTGTCCTATAACTACAGATTGCTTACATGCTTAAGCACTTTGATGGGTCATAGCCATATTTTTTATTTTTATATATATAAAAATTGAAAAATGATTATATATATGGCTATGATCCACCAAAGTCTCATACACACACACACTCCTTCCCCTTCTTTTCCAACCTTATCTTGAAAAATTTTGAAATGTTATGACATTTTTCTTTAAGCTTTTAAGTATCTTTCTCCTTGATGCTAGAGTTCTTTTCTTCCTCCACACTGTCTAGCTTGATAATAAACAGAAAGAATTAAAATTAGGACTTTGTTTTTTTAACCCAAGAAAAGTACTTTTTCACGCTACCTCTGTTTGTCATATGGGTACAACAGTGTCACTAGTACTCTGGTGTCTCCCACTACTCCAGACCATTGGCTGCTCTGTTTGCGTATATGTGTATAAAACACATCTAATCCATTGGGAATGCTATGAAAATAGCATTGTCCCTAAGCTCTGCTCAGAATTTGAGTTATGAAACAGTACTGGCTCTAACAGGAACCACAAAGAAAATCTTCATGTAATGCTTTTTCAGTTTACCCCAAGGGCCTGACAAACCCAGAAAAGCAGAAAAAAAGTGAAGGCTGTGTAGCCATTCTTAATAATCACTGCTTTAATCGGCTCTTTTGGGTGCATGTAGTATCTCTAATCCAATTCACTATAGCTAGGAATATTGGAGCCCACTAATAATAGTTTCATTATTAATGATGATTTCCCCGACTTATGCAAGTTTGCTAGATTCTCCATAATACCCTTTTCCTAGCTGAATGTAAATTATATCAGTGTCTCTGTCTTAGTTCCTTAAATCCTTTATAAAAAAAAAAAAAAAAAGAAGGGGGGGAAGGCTTAAAGGAAACTTGCAAACTAATAACCAAATCTAATTAAAATACAGAAACTACAGTTACAATTAATACACTAGAAATTTTTTTTAAATATGTAAAGATACCCCATCACCAACTCATGAAGCAGATAAGAACAGGAAAAATAATTGGCTCGGGTGAGGAAACAATTAAAAAAAGAACAGAGGCCTGTAAAAGGTTAATTTACTCCAACTAATGCATTAAAGAAAACAGCTTGTAGAAGTTTAGGAGTGTACCTTAAGAACACTTTGGAACTGTCTACTTGCAGATTTTCTCCATCTTAATCTGACTCATTAGGCTAAACCTCCCACTAAGAACTACAATGCAGTATGATTAAAATGGAAGTTCTCATCAAAAGACACCCACTCCACTCCCTGAATGATAATGATGAAGTGGCAGGTATTTCATAAAAGCTCCTTTGGGAAATGCAATTATTTGTATTTAGTAAATATTTACTTAGCTCTAGGCCAAATATCCCAAATGTTGGCAGTTTTCCTTTAGCACACCAGAGCTACACTACAGGGGGAGAGGGACCATTATCTAAGAAAAAGACAGTTTTTTGTACAGTCATTTATGGTTTTCCCATTGTTTCAGCTATCTGCAACAGAATAAAATTACTATTTTCAACATATGCAAAAACCCTAGAGTCTCCTTCCCTTTAACTCCAAAGTGAATGACGCCTATGATACTGGCTCATGTGTAAGCAGTGCCAACACTACACCATCTATTTCGTTTGGAAGTGCTCAGCGCACCAAGTTAGTGTCGTTGCCAAAGGATTATGGATTTTTTTACCTTGTCTTACTTCTGCAAAGAAATTACACTGTGGGACACCAGAACCTTTCAGAGTTAAACAAACATGATAGGAAAAGTGTATGTTAAGTAAAGGGCTAGAAGCATTGACTAGTATTCAGTTGACTAGCTATCAATACTGTCTCAGAGATTAAAGATGCTGGAACCCTCCTAGAGGAAAAGAATTGTTAAAAGAAATAAAAAACACTGTAAGAAAGAGGATGGTGGGGGGGTGGAGAAATGTGAGGTAATAAATGGGACAGGACTAAGCAGAGTTGTAAAAAATTCAAGAACTAGAAACAAAATGCAAGGAACAAATTAACTATGATGAGATCAGTCCAGCACCTCTTACAATCATTATACAAGCCAAGGGCAGGCAAAACACAGCCTGCAGGCTGGATCCGGCCCACCAGGCACACACTTTCATCTGTCCCACAGCTGCCCACCAACTAATTATACCCTGCCCAGCCTGCGTCCCTCGCTCCCACCCTCTTAGGCAGAAGTGCCAAGCCCAGCCAGCACGCCGCTTCTAGGTGGAGCTGTTGTCAGTGCTGCAGCCACCAAGGGACCTACCACCGAAGGATGTGACCAAGTTGGAGAAGGTCCAGCTGAGGGCAACAAAAATGGTTTCGGGGCTGGGGCACATGAGTTCTATGGAGAGACTGAGAAAACTGGGCTTATTTAGTCTAGAGAAGAGAAGGCTGAGAGGGGATTTAACAGCAGCCTTCAACTACCTAAAGTGTGGTTTGAAAGAGGCTGGAGCTGGACTGTTCTCAGTGGTGGCAGATGACAGAACAAGGAGCAATGTCTCAAGCTGCAGCAAGGAAAGTTTAAGTTACATATTAGGAAGAACCATCTCACTAGGAGACCAGTAAAACACTGGAAGAGGTCACCCAGAGAGGTGATAGAAGCTCCATCCTTGGAGGTTTTTAATACCTGGTTACACAAAGCCTTGGCTGGGATGATCTAGTTGGGGATGGTCCTGGTTTGAGCAGGGAGTTGGACTAGATGTGACCTCCTGTGGTCCTTCCAACCCTCATCTTCTATGATTCCAAGTCTCACCATTCATACTACCCTTTTAGTTCCAATAACTACCTACAGCAGATTACTAATGAAGACTATGTTTTACACAGCCACCACTACCTTAAAAAGAACTGTCCATCAAGGCTGACATTTTGATCACTATTCAATGACAAACACTGGTTAGGTCAGAGAGTAATGCTTAAGATGCCAACATTCAAACTAAAGCTCTGGCTACGCTAATGCACCACTCATTATCAATGGTACAGATAAAATGGGGATGGGAAATTTTGAGCAAATAATTAAATGTATGCACCTCCTCAATCAAGCAATGCATTGTCTTACAAGAGTCTGATACTCACAGAAGAAAAATGATTTAAATAGAGAAATCCAAGCAGACGTGAAAGCCTCTTAAATCAATGCTCACTTTCAGCTCAGCTGTCTTCTAGTTGCCAGTAAAAATGCACTCTCACTGGCATGTTCTAAACTCACACCTACATAAACATAATTGCTGTGGCATTTTCTTTCAGGCTTGTCCCCCAAGTCACTGTGTGGAAGTCTAATACTGCATTATAAATCAGAGCAAAGCAAAACCTACAAACGATGCGAGCTGATAAATGTTCCACTTGGCAAAATAATGAGCAAAGGACAGCCCTAGTTTCGGCAACAAGTTGAATGATTCAGTAAGAACTCTTGCTTGAACAGTTCAGCAAATCTATGTATGTTTAATTTCTCTGTAGATTTTCCTTATAGCATAAGCACAGACAGTCTTTTGAGAGGCTAGTCAGTCAATGACCTTCGCCAGCTGATTATTAAATCAATGATAGACTGCTAGCCATACCACCAGCCACTTTTACAGGCATTCCAGTCTCAAATCCTCCACTGCTAAAAAATGTCATTTTAATTGGTTCTCTCAAAAGTATAAAGCACTGACATGCTCCAGTAAAGCAAAAGATATGGGAGAAGTTTGACAATAGAAAAGCCACAGCCCTGCCTCATTTAAAATGGTTCACTGGTGTGACTCATATAAAGAAACTTATTTCCATTTTCTGTTTTCACTTTATATGAAAAGATACCGATGGTTTAAACACATATGATCAACCATATGTTTCACCAATTAGTAATCTTTTCATGGATCGCTCTTACTCAAGTGAGCTTTCCAACTGACACCCGTTACAGGACTGTACCTCTGATTTATATGCCCGCCCCTCTAAATTATAAAATACTTTAAAAACAATTAATTTCATGGCAACAGTGCTCTTGCAATAACTTATTATATAATCCTCAACTACAGAAAATAAAATCCTACTGAATTAAAGAAAAATACCACAATTTATTATTATAGCCTTCAAAGCTTAGTCAGTCTTAAAACACACTATGGGCTGTGCGTCTCAGTTGGCTTCTTTACTAGATGGATATTATAAGTCACTTACCCCAGATGATGAAGGGCTATAAAATACTTTGACATCCATGACTAAAAGTTGTATTAAGTACTCAGTATTAACTTTGTGACCCAAAAGTAGATAAAGACAACACATACTTTTTAAAAAAGAAAGAAAAAGTGAGTACTATGACAGGTGAAATCTCAAGAACAAAAACTGGGAAAAGGGTCTGTGTTGTCAGGAATGTTTAAGTTCTCACATGGTAAGCATCTTACTAGTATTTAACAAATCCATGTAGAAAAACTTCTAACATAGATGGTAGCTTATAAGGATATCAAAATTGGAATAATCTTGAAAAAGGTTAGCTGTAAATATTTGGAAAGCAATTTCTGGAATATAAACTGCTTTAAGAGAACTATTAACAAATACTGGATAAAGAATACCAAGGGAAACAAGCAATTGCTTTGAAAGAAATATTAGTACTAAAGTACAAGAATAATATTAGGAAAGTAGAGCAATTGCTCTGGGAGAAAAATGGGCTGTAAAATGCTAGACAAACACCATTAATATATGAAGTGATTATTTGGAGAGAAGTATTAAAGATTAACTCCCTATATTTATTTAAAGGTGCTGGTATATTTCAAGGGACTGTGCTAACTGCTGAGGAGGCAGAACACACAGGCAGCTCCTGAGATCTCTCTTTAAACAATCTTATCTAAAAGATGT